GATCTCCCTATTAGGAGGAGGGTCTGTGAGGGCCATATCCCCAGTGCATGGAACACACTGGGTTGCCATCTCCTTGAAACTTTTAGTTAGCTTCGAGGGCACACTTGGTCTTGGCTCTGTGATCTCTCTAGCTAGTCCTTTTCTGTCTCCTTGCTGGTAAATGAAAAAGGGTGGGAAGGTACAAACCCATTTTAGGAGGATAACCAGTCTTTCTTCCATACTAATCAGGCTGGGGCTTGAGGCAGCACAAAGACCAAGAACCACCTACCCTCCAGGGTACAAGACACTTTAGTGCCTTGCTTGAGCCTAGGAGTTCAAGACCAGCCTGGGCAACATGGTGAGAACCCGTTTCTGCAAAAAATACAAAAAACTAGCCGGGCTTGGTGGTGCATGCCTGTAGTCTCCGCTACTCAGAGGCTGAGACGGGAGAATCACCTGAGCCCAGGGAGGCTGAAGTTGCAGTGAGCCAAGATCACACCACTGTACTCCAGCCTGAGTGACCAAGTGAGACTCTGTCTCAAAAAAAAAAAAAAAAAAAAGAAGACATTTTAGTACCCAAGGATGCCAGAAGCAAGAAAGAACTTTCTTTCTACGTGTGTAGATGGAACACCTGTAGCAGGAAAGCCAACATATAAAAGTGTATTTGCTTTCTTCTACTAAAAATGAAAACTACTTCCTAATAAAGAGAATTTTAAAATATATTTTTTATTGCTTCAATCAAAGGAAAATATAAAATTGAATTCACCATATAGTCTCAAGAACTACTGAAGAACTGAAGTACCTTATTTGATAAAGTGAACAGGTAGTTTCTAATTTATCCTGCCACGGATGGATAGTAGGTACAATTATAAGAAGAAGGGTGCAAATTAACATTTTTCTACCATAAAAAACAAGGTTGGCTAAATTTGGGGAATAATACTGAAAAATGCTCCTGATAAAAATAAAAAGAAACTACAGCTCAGCATTTTCCCCTGAATTTAGCCAAACTTGTTAAGGGAATGACCAAGGAATTATCACAGATTGGAGGAAACTAAAGAGAAATAACAACTAAATGCAACAGAGGACCCCAGACTGAATCCTGGAACAGAAGAAAAATACATCAGCGGAAACAAAATCTTTTTTCTTTTTTTAAAAATATTATTGTAACATTGATGATAGGTAAAGTACTTCTTTGGGTTTGTTTGTTTGTTTGTTTTGAGACAGGGTCTCATTCTGTCACCCAGGCTGGAGTGCAGTGGAGCGATCATGACTCACTGCAGCCTCTACTTCCTGGGCTCAATTGATCCTCCAGCCTCAGCCTCCCCAGTAGCTAAGACTCCAGGCGCATGTCAACATGTCCGGCTAATTTTTGTATTTTTTGTAGAGTCGGAGTTTCACCATGTTGCCCAGGCTGGTCCCTAACTCCTGGGCTCAAGTGACCCACCCACCTCAGCCTCCCAAAGTGCTGAGATTACAAACGTGAGCCACTGAGCCCAGCAGAAACCCAAAGAAAATCAATATTTAGTTTAAAAGCAAACAACAAAAACCCAAAGAAAATCTCCATTTGGTAGGAGAAGCCCTTCCTCGGTATCTAGTACACATCTTCTGCAAAAGTATTTGCTGTAGCTGGAAGTTCTACAGCTGTCGAGACACACCCATTCCGGGCTGGATATCTTTGTTAGAAGGTCCTTCCTTGTATTGCTTTGAGTTACATTCCTTTGTAACTTGACTCAGTCTAGTTCTTCCTTCTAGAACTACACATAAGTCTAATTCCTCTTTTACCTGATCTTCACAGTCTATATTTTGCCTCAAGTTTCTTTTTGAAGAAAAGTATATCACACTTTTTGAAGTGTGATATACCCAAGTTCCCTTCACTTTACACATCATGATTTTTATACCCTTTATCATTCTTGTGGCAGAACCTTCAAAGTTCTGCAGTTTGTCAAATGGCCTTCTCAGAATCAAGCTCAGAACTAAACACTAATGTAGAGCCTATCAAACTATTTCGCTTCTTGTTTTGGACACCATGCTTCTATGCCTAAAACTGTCCTTTCTTTTTTAGCAGCTACATTACATTGTTGATCATTAAGGAATTTACAATCAACTATTCCTTAGTCTTTTTCACATGGATTCCAATGAAGTAATTCCAGTGAAGGAGGAGAGAAGGAAGCACAGCTACTAACATGACCCTGCCATTATTACTCTCTTAATAACCAACTAATTTTGAGTGCTAACTACATGCCAGACAATTGCAATTCTATACCTACCTACACTTGACTTTTGCTGAGGTCTGAATGTTTCCCCTCAAATTCATATTTTGTTTATTCATTTATTTTTCTGAGACGAGTCTTGCCCTGTTACCCAGGGCAGAGTGCAGTGGTGCCATCACAGCTTACTCCAGCTTCGACCTCCTGGGCTCAAGCAATCCTCCCACCCCAGCCTCCCAACGTGCTGGGATTACTTGAGCCACTGTGCCTGGCCTCAAATTCACATTTTGAAATCTTAACCCTCAAAATGATGGAATAAGAAGGGGCAGACTTTGGAAGGTGATTAGGTTATGAGGGTGGAACCCAAGTGAACAGGATTACTGCCTGTATGAAACAGACCTCAGAGGGATCCCCAACCCCTTCTTCCATCTTATGTTATAATGAAAAGACCACTGTGTAGGAAGCAGGCCCTCACCAGACACTAATTTTGCCTGAGCCTTCATCTTGGACTTCCCAGCCTCCAGAACTGTGAGAAATAAATTTCTGTGTTTAAGAACTACCCTGTTTATGGTATTTTGTTATAGCAGCTCCAGTGAACTAAGACAACCTTCTAAATCTGACTAAAGAACTCATTGCAACAAAACTTATAAAACGTTGAACAGAAACTGTACAAAGTAGCTCCCAAGCATTATTCAATTAATAAATATAAAATCTTGCACAACAGCCTCTTGAGGGTAGACTGTCACTACTAATCATTTATCCATACTTATGTGGTACGTATGCCTTGATTCTCAGTCCTATGGCTTTTTTTTTTTTTTTTTCTCCTCAGAGAATCACACTGACAAGTGGTAAAGAGAGATGTCCAGGGTACCATTCTAAGAAAGCATCTTCACTCATCTGCAAGCTTTAATTGAAAGTCGCAACTCTCAACTGAGAAAGCCACATACACACATTTTAAAGCTGCCGAGTACCACCTTCCAGAAACCAAAGTGTCAGATCTGAGTTTCCCAATAGCTCTTCCTGGGCTGAAGTCATTTATTACACAAAACCAACTCATTATTTCCTTACATCTGGGCACCATCAATCTATTTTCCGACCTTTTCACCCTCAACATCCCCAAATCCCTTTGAAGTCAAAGCATCAGTCATTTTTGTCAGGTGTAAAACACACTGCACGTGCACGGGCATGCTCTGATGTTCACAATATGTAAAAACTTGAACATTTAGAGATTGCTTAAATCCCTGGTGTTGCATAAACGGCCTGATAAGAACATAAACATTTGCAAGGTAGCCTTCCCACATTTGTCGCTTTGGGGACGGAGGGTTCCTAAATCAGAAATGGAATGCTAGCAACACTCCATCACCTCACACAACCCCTATGCCGGGGCCAAGGGAGGCGGCTGGCAGGCCTGGAGCGCGGGCAGGCGCCGGCTCCCCGAGGAGACAGCGCGGGCTGGCGCTCCCCGACCCCTCACCTCTCTTGTCCAGGAGCCACATGAATGCGAAGCAGGGCAGGAAGCCGATGGGCCCCCACAGCACGAGCAGCGCGATGTCCCAGCTGGAGAAGCCGTAGGCCTGGCGCGCCGAGTTCTGGATGGGACCCCAGGTGTTCCAGACCAGGCCCTGAACGAACGCCAGCAGCGAGAAGAGCAGCAGCACCAGCCAGCGGCGCCCGTACACCCGCCCGGGACCCGGGACCGCCGCGGGCAGCGCCGCCGCCGCCTCCCGGCTTCTCCAGGAGGCCCCCAGCCCAGGCCCGAGCCCGGGCCCCAGCAGCGGCTGCCTCTCCTCTTCGCTGCTCCAACGAGAGCCCATGGCGACGCGTCGCGCGCGAAGCCAATGCCGGGCTCAGTCCAGGTCACCGCCGACTAGCCCAGGGCAGAATCTTACTGAGCAGTGGGAGGCGGAGGCTGCTGTGGTCGCCCTCGGCCTCCGGGCCGCGCCTCGTGCGCCTGCGCGGCCCGAGCCGGGCCGGCGGGGAGGCGGGGCAGGCGGCAAGGAGGCTGGGGTCCGCCCTCCCCTCCGCGGGTGGCTAGGAGACACCGGCGAGAGGAAAGGAGCCAGGTCCCAGACTGAGGGCAGGTAGCGCTGAAAAGGCAGGGACAAGCGCGGCTGAGTCGGGGAGAGGGAGACTTGCAGAGAGGCTGTATTCGAGGAGGTTGGGCAAGGAACCCTGGGGTGTTTGGAGGAAGTGTCCAAGTTAAATCTTGTGCGTAATAAACAACTCAGTGACCTGTGCTCACTTAACCTAATGCTTGCGTCTATTTTGGGCTTATTCTTATTTTTGTTGAGTTAATAACTTCAGAAATTATAGGCAGAGGATAAGATTTAGGCGTAGTTGGTCCCAGGGGATTATCTCATAAAAATCATTTATGTACAATAAGTACTGCCTATTTTTGTTATTTTTTTTTTGTCTTACATATCCAAAGAGGAGATTGCAAACTAGCCAATTCCATTCATATATATGTAAACTTTTTTTTACCCATTTCGTCTGTCACTTAATAGGCAAGCAATAAAGGTATGTCCAGTGAAGTTGTAAGATTTTTGCCCCAAAGTGACCCAGATCCATCTCCAGTGATTATGATTTGACCACAGGGTAAACGAGAAGAAAGGTGGTTGTTGATCTCTTCACACAGCTGTTTGTTTATTTTGGTATACAAATCCAGAAGCCTGACAGCTGTGGATTAGTGTCCTTGAAAACCTAAGTCAAGCAATTTGGCTTGTCTGCATCGGGAAATGAGTCACAGGGAACGCAATCACAGGATTCTTTGCCCGAGGTTCGTATTTCCCGGCGGCCACTAAAATTAGGAGTCAGGTTGCTACCAGAAGGGCAAGAGAGGTTTAAGAGAAGCGTGAGCTAGCCTCGCATTCAAGGCTGCCAAGAGCGGCTCGCGAAAGCTGAAGTCAGAGACCCATCCCACCGCCAGAGCCCCATAAAGCGTCAAACCTTCCCCTAAAACTCCAATCATCTAGGGTGGAGAAAAGCCGAGGCGGAAAGCAAGGATCTGACTAGAAAAGGCGACACAGAAACGAAGCTAAGACTACAGGAAAGAAGCCTAAGGTCCGGGTTAGGTAAAAAAGCGCCACAACTCAGACCACGTGTTCGTATTTCCACACCCGGGGTATCAAAACAAAGCTGCGTGGTCCCGCCCAGCATCCATCACGTGACCTCCACGTGAGCGCCTGCGTTTCCGTAGGAGGCGGACTGGAGTCGCCGGGGCTCCTTCCTGTGGTGCAGCTTCGGGTCCCGGAGCTTGGTCCCTACCGTGACCCCACCCCAGCTCCGCTCCGCCTTGGGTTCCGGCAGAACCCGCCTTGCGGTAGCCATGGCAGCAGGCTCCGAGGCGACCACTCCTGTGATCCTTGCAGCTGGGGCTGGAGGGGAGGAAGGTAGGTGCCAGGCTGAGGTCAGACCCTGAGTACAAACCCAATGCCAGTTGACTCTCGTGGCACCCCTCGTGGGGCCGTTTGCCTTAGCCCCGTCCCAGGTCTCTCTGGCCTTGCATTGGACTATGAAGAAAATTCTGTATTTTCTAGGGATCGTGGCATTTCTCGAATTGTGGCATCCAGATTTTTGATCGTCATAGGGTAGCCTACCAGTGCTGTTTCACGCATGGGGGTGTTTGTTTTGTTTTGTTTTATATTTGCCCATCGTTAGCTAAATAGGGGTGTTTTGAATGTTGGGATTAAAATTAAATTTGTGAAATTGAAGGCAACCTTTGAGATTAATGGGAGTTATCTGAGACGTGTGAACAGGGATTATGCGCTTTTATTCTATTTCAGTGAACCCTGGTTTAGCAAGTGGAGATGAGGTTTGGAGACCCATGAGCCTGAGATCCCTGTTATTATTTATTGAATGATTGCACCGTGCAGCGCTCTGTTCTGGATACTGTCGCGGGATCCAGAGACTTTTGAATATTTATAACAATACCTTTTCCAAAGGAGCCTAGAAAGGAAAAAGAATGACTTACTATATGTTCACCTGAACTATTCTACCAGTAGTACACTCTGTGAGGGTTGTTATCAGGAGGAGGGATCTCAGTGGAGAGAACATAAATGCTTCAAGGAGGGAATAGTTTGAGGTCGGCCTTTTTTTTTTTTTTTTTTTTTCTTTTGAGACGGAGTCTGGCTCTGTTACCGGGCTGGAGTGCAGTGGGGCGATCTTGGCTCACTGCAACTTCTGCCTCCCAGGTTCAAGCATTTCTCCTGCCTCAGCCTCCCGAATAGCTGGGACTACAAGCGCGCCACCATGCCCAACTAATTTTTGTATTTTTAGTAGAGACGGGGTTTCACCATGTTGGCCAGGATGGTCTCGATCTCTTGACCCTGTGATCCGCTGAGGTGAGCCTTTCTGATTGGATGAGATGGTGGCAAACTCAGGTAGTGGTGCTGGGTTCAGGAAGTCAAGGAGCAGAAAAGGATGGATGTATCTAGGGATCAGATAGTTTGCTGAACCCCCATTCCAAGCAGAAGAAACAAATTATAGCCTTCTACTATCTGACCACTTTCTACTAGGGAGACAATTCTTGACCTTCATCTATACCTCCATTGCATTGATTTTTCCATTTTCTATCCACTGCACCCCCTTATCCAGAATGTATGTCGTTCCTTTGAAAAATTCTGTTGTCCCTTCCTGCACCTTTTTCTGACAAAACTCTTACTCTGGATGAAGTCAACCTTTTGCCCACTTTGTACCTGTACTATGCGCCTGAACTTTGCTGGAAAAAGTCCTGCACAAATTGATGACCGTATAAAGTGAAAATGGCCAAACTCTTGAATATTCAGCCAGTATGGACTTGAGATCCCTTTGATCCTCTGTTTCTCTAGTGAGCCTACCGACTTTCTCCAATGACAAATCCCCAAACTCTATAACCTCTCTCTGCCTCTTTCTTAATTTTAGGTGATGACTTTGCAAGTCAGGTCAATTCTGCATCTAATCTGTCTACTTTTTTCCTCCTTCACTATCAGACCCACTTCAAATCATCCGCATTTTCTCACCTCAACTACTACTGTATCTTCCTGACTTGTGTCTCTGTTTTCTATTTTGTACCCCTCTAATCCCTTCTCCATTCAGCAGCAAAAAGTGACTCTTCCTTATGTAAAATTCTTCAGTGAATTACATTGCCCTTAGAAGTTAGAATAAAACCCAGACTCTTAACCGTGGCCTTGGTTTGGGCTCTGCTGATGTCTTTAGCAGGATCTCTTGTCACTCACCTCCCCTCTCGCTTTTCACATAGCTGACTTAATCTTTAGGTTTTAAAGTATGTCACCACCTGAGACCTTAAGAGACCAAACTATCTAAAACAGTCACTGTGATTTCTCTTGCACCCCCCAACCCTAGATGTTCTGGAATACAGCATCCTGCTTCTGTCATTTTACTTATTACAATCTGTATTTATTATTTGTTTTTTCCATTAGATCGTAAGTACCTTGAGGGCAGGACCTATGTCTGTTTCATTCACTGCCGTGTGCCCAGCTGGAAGTACAATGCCAGGCACATAGTTGGCACATGCCACGTTTGTTGAATGAATGAATAAGGGCACTCCATGCCAAGTCCAGAGGCAGAAGGAGAAAGCATGACATTGGCCAAGGACTGAAAGCAGTGTCAGGAGTGGTAAGAAAAGAGGTATCCTAAAGGTTACCTTATGCCTGGTTAAGGAATCTAGACATTAAGATAGTAGGAAGCCTTAAAGAACTTTAGGTGAGGGAAATAACATGATTAATTTTGGTTGTAGGAAGATCACTGTGACTGAAGGGTAGAAGATTGATTGGAGGGAGAAAGACTGGAGGACAAGGTACTTAATCCCTTTGAGCCTCAGTTTCCTCCTCTGTAAAATGCATGATCATTGTGAAGATTAGAGTTAATATGTGTAGATTATCTAGCATAGTATCTGGCAGGAATTGGATATTTAGGAATGGTGACCATTTTTATTATTAATGGAAAGTGCCAGCCTTAGTGACTGATGTTGAAACTGAAAGAAAAGAAATTAGAGATGTTATGTAAGAGAATGAGAAAAATAAATACATTAAATAAAGTCAAGTGAAAGGGTCGGTACATTCAGTACAATGATGAATACAATGGGAGTCATAGAAAAGTTCATTTAAAAAATTTTTTGTTTATTTTTTATTTTTGTAGATACAGGGTCTCACAGTGTTCCCCAGGCTCGTCTCGAATTCCTGACCTTAAGTGATGCCCCTACTTCAGCCTCCCAGAGCACTGGGATTTCAGGCATAAGCTGCTGCACCCAGCTGAAAAGTTCATTTTTGAGCAAACTTATTCCATGATCAAAAAGTATTTGAATGGCATATGATAAACAGACCTTTATCATGTGGTAAAGCAGAAGACAGTCTTTGCCCCAAAATAGCTTATAAATATCATTTTTGGCAATAAAGACATATCCAAAAGGTCAGATGTAATTAGCTGGGATATAATACTCAGTATGATACACATGAAGTACTTTGGAGGCTGAGAGGAGAAGGAACTAATAGAAATTGGGTTGGTTTGTGCTTCCTAGGATAATTTCTTGAAGATGAGCCAGGTGAGGAGACTGATTCTACTAGAGTAGAAATAGTGACAGAGAACCTGGGTGAAAAAGAGGAAGACTTGTATCCATTGAGTCCAGAGAAGAGCAGGGTAAAAACAGAAATGTTGAAGTGAAGAAGAGAAAAATCGTGGGTTTCAGTCTTTGCAGAAAAATAGAGCAAGGCACCACAAAAGTAAGGAAGTAGAGAAAGGTGCTGGAGACTTCAGAGTGAAGAAGCAGCCAGCCGTGTTGGTGCACGCCTGTAATCCCAGCACTTTGGGAGGCGAGGCAGGCAGATCTCTTGAGCTCAGGAATTTGAGACTAGCCTGGGCAACATAGTGAAACCCTGTCTCTACAGAAAATACAAAAATTAGCTGGGCATGGTGGCACGCACCTGTAGTTCCAGCTGCGTGGGAGGCTGAGGCACAAGAATCGCTTGAACCTGTAAAGCGGAGGTTGCAGTGAGTTGAGATCATGCCACTGCACTGCACTCCAGCCTGAGCAACAGAGCCAGACCCTGTCTCAAAAAAAAAAAAAAAAAAAAGAAGCTTTGGCATGGTCGCCATAGGGTTGAGGATGATTAGGAGTGAGTCAATGATTGGGAGCAGGAAAGGGTAACCGGTAGAGGTGAGCATAAAATCATAGAATTGATCACCTTGGTTATGCTTGATAGCTCATTATACAGAAGTGCTTAGTTTCAATAAAGTTTTATACATTGCTAAAAATCAGGTATTCTTATACAGTTATTTGAAAAAAAACATTTGTTTAGCATCATTTTATGCCACGCACTGGACTAATCTGTAGGGAGATAAAAGTAAGAGGTTTGCCTTCAAGAATGTGATATTGTTTGTTTGAAATAACAGCTTAGAAATAATTAAAAACAAACATGAAACTACTTATTGTTAATTAAGAATCAATTTAAATTCTGAATGTGAAATGTTATTCTCATAATCATACATTGATTGAAGCATTCATTGAAATTAAAAATTGCAGTTATTTGAGTGTGATTCTGTCTTTCAAACTGAGGTTATTATATTTCTTTCTATTGGGCTGTTTTTTAGTTTTTAGTTATAGCCAAGATTATGCCTTGATGAAGAGAAGAAAAATGTGTTAGTAACTCTTCTTCCAGTGCTTCCTGAGGAAATATCTCATCTAGAGTTGTATGGAATTGATTTTCATTTAGAATGAACATTCCTACATAACTGGATTTACTCTTTTTCAGCTGGCGACACATACTCACCATGTCATTTTTGTTCTCATTTTAAAGGGCAAAGGGTGGAGGAGTTTAAAGAAAAGCAAAAGCCTGTGTTATCTCAAAAAGTAAAAAATTCCCATGTTAGAATCCATATGTAATTCATAATGTAGATAAAATTTTTAATTTCACTGAATGCTTGGTAATGATGAGTATCAGAAAAACAATACCATTTATTTTATTGTGGTAAAAACGTATAACATAAAATTTACCATGTTAACCATTTTTAAGTGTTAGTAGTGTTAGGTAGATTCACATCATTGGGAAGGCGATCTCTAGAGCTTT